CAGCAACTCAAGTCACCATCACTGCTGCAGCAATAACCTTGCAGGCTCAAACCAGCAGTATCGCGTGTTATTCTGTTTGCGGCCATAGCACATTTTAAAAGTCAGCTTTGCCGCAATGCCACCACAGTGCTAAGAAGTGAAGCATATCAAAAATCTGAAAGGGCTACTGTCACAGGGTAGCATGTGAATGTGGCTCCTTCAGAAATGGCCCCACATGTATTACCACGCATACTGCTATTTAGCATATGTGGCCTAGCGTAGCTGTGAGTGAACTGCACACATTTATTAGGTGACAGCCCAAATGCACCATGCTGCCAATCACTGTTGCTTCTTTGTGTGAGACCACTAAGTGTACAGATACATTGCTTTGAGGAACGAAACCAGCTCACCACCACCATGCCCCTATGTGGTCAGGAATGGAGTGGGCACTACGAAGATTGTGCATACAGCACCGCAAGCATCCCTGAAGCACACAACCAGAAGCAATCCACTCCACGAGGGCATTTTGCATTTTAAAAAATTACAAAGCCTTTCAAGGGCCCTTGAATTTCAAATGTCAATAATTCAAGGATATTTAAGGACTTCAAGGGGCTGTGTGAACACTGGTAGTGTTGCACATGTACACCCTCATTTTCGTTGAAGATTCAGGTCACTCCCAAATGCAACAACTGCAAAATATCTCGTCGATTCGGCACTAACCCCAAACTACTATTGTCCACAATCCCACTAACAACAAGGCAGTTGGCGCTCATTAGGCCTAGCGTGCGGGTTCCAACTTGACATGCCGTCGAGAGAAGCTGGCCCAGGACAACAGAAATAGCAGACAAAAAAGATATCGCACCACTAAGCTAAACAGCGGATAGCACACATAAAACAAAATTTGGTTTGCAGCTAGGAGAACAGCTGCAGCAACTTTCCTGAAAGTCTTCCAAGCTTGTAGCTCCCTACTGATGGCAAAGGCAAAAGCTCGAAGTGTCGTCACTAGTGGTGCACAAATATAAAAAATTTCGAGCATTTTTCGAATAGTGTTTGCTATTTGATTTGCACAGGAATTTTGCTATTAGAACTTCCCGAAGACAAATACAGTCAATGCCAGATTAACAATGACCCCTTTAGATTTTAAATATACTTCACTCCATATTCTCGTATCGCGGCAAAGCTGCCTTTCAGGCTCCGTTACAGTCTTGAATGTTTTGAATCTAGAAAACGCTGGTTCCAACATACAGATGATAGATGTGGCAGAAGTGGGGGCTCAAGAGGTGGATAGCAATATCATGGCTCACGCAATGGATTGTGGGCTACGGTGCCCGTCTGCATCGACTTGCGGTTCGAGACGCCGTGCCGGCATTCTCGCCAGTGCTGGCACTTCTTGAGTGTTCCATCTTTCAGTCGTGGTGCCCTTTTCTTACAAATTGCTGCAAAAATTTTTGGACTGCTACACAGCATGGTTGAATAACAAATTCAATCACTATAAAATAGTTATAATGGTGCGAGCGGACAATTTTTTCATTGAAACAGATTGCACCTCCGGACACATGCTTGTTGCTCTGTAGCAAAGGTTATTATTGCACATGTTTTGCCACATACAAAGATTTTCAGCACATCATAGGATCACAAAATATCCGTTCATTTGTTTTCATGTTGATCACGTACCTGTAAAATTATTTATTATTTACTTTTGGGTTGCAAAGATACCATTCCGGGCTCTATTTAGCGAATGGCTTCAGTATATTGTGTTTTGAATACTATAAATGAAATGCGTGCGTAGTTCTCTGGCCTTTTTCTTCTGTCTCTCAATATCCTTTTACATAAGGTGTCGTCGCTCACACACTCGAACATTGTTCTTCAATGCACGCAAAATTCTCGGTGAGCGCACAGTTGCGGAACATAGCTTCTAGGGCTATGAGTAGGAGCATAATACAACTTACCAGCACTTCATGCTTGCAAGCCTGACATAACAGAGATGCCATACCATGCTTCTGGCTGCTTCAAAAGCGACTTCGATTGTTTTACGTCACACGATCAGATTATTTGAGTGGCCGTTTTCTTCTGTGGGCCTTTTACGCGCTCACCTGTTCCCATAAATTTTACAGACAGAAATGCAGATTACGATATAAAAATATACTATATCGGCGTACTTGATCGCGCAAAGTATGCGTACATATGTCGACATCGTATGTATATTGACATTTCAGAGCATGCGAACATATGTGCGAGTTATTTTGAAGTGGTCTCGGTAAGTGCATGCGTTCGAAAATAATAAATCAAGGTTATTCTGCAAAAGATTACTGTGCGTTTCAAAGCATAACTGCACGCTGTGCGCGAAACCCATCTCTCCCCGTTCCTCATTTTTGCCCATGTCCACGCCTCACTTCGTTCTCTGAAATGTGCGAAAATTTATCTATCTATTCACAAAAAAGAATTGAAAAACATAAGTATTGAATGCGTGGCAGCAAAAGCGTCACAAAATTGGGCGTGTTATCTCCCCGATAACACTGCACAGCAGGCATCTTGAAGCAGCGAAGGAATAGGCCTTGAACCCGAAGTACCGTAGCAGATGACGCGCCGTTTTGCTATCCACCTATTATGCTGTTTTGGACTTGAAACTTGGGCAGAAAGTCCAAAAAATCAGATGCCGAAGATTGGTAGCATCTAACATTTTAGATGTTTTTATATACTGACGTCTATGAGGCAGATTTGGAACTAAAGATTTGAAGGGAGCGCACCCTTGTCTGCCATGTCAGTTGGGCTTCTACAAAAGTTGAAAAAGGAGGAGAGGTTGAGGAAATAGCATCTTTGCCTTTCACGTGTGAAGTCTTGTCGCCAACACTTAGGTTGCACCAAATCATGTACATAAATCGGCCGATGGTTTGCGTGTGCCTCGTGTTTTCGTCGGGATCATGTTATTGTTGTGTCGCTCTAAAGTAAACGCGCCTTTAGAAGTAGCGAGATCATGTGCATGATATCTGCGCTCCACAATGGTGCAACTATTTTGCTTGCAGAAAACCAAAGAGCCAAACAGTGGTAATGCACACTTCATGTGGATGCAGGTATCTGTTCTGAACAGAGCACATGCATGACAAGCAGGCAGAGGAAAGGAAACAAAGGCTTCTCCACAACCTAAGCAATTGTTCCTTTTTCTCACACCTTGTGCCCGCATGGCACTGCTGCCCCCCCCCTCCCCCACGTAGACTCACGATAATTCAAACTCAGATAATTCATACTTTTGGTTGTTAATTCAAACTAAATTCAATTTTCTGATTGACCTTCTATACTTTCAATGTACTTAAAAGCCTCTTAATTCAAACTCCATCATTCGGTTCATTCATACTTTTTGCAGTCCCCCCCCCCCTCCCTATACCAAAAAATATCTGCTGCTTTCCTATCACTATTCAAAAATTTGTGTGCTTATATAATCCTAACAGTCTAAAAATTAAAAATAAGCACCTCAGGCCTTCAAGGAAAAAGGCTTTGCCAGTAAGCATATGTTTTAAATGAATCGCACAAAAGGTAAACCGTGATGCTTCTCAACAGGTATAGATAGCTTTGTGTTGAAGGCACATATTGCAAAGAAGCAGTTGGCAAATCACGATTTTTTCAAAAGGACTGATCAGTAATAAATGGCCAATAAACTTGTGGACCTTATACCTCTGCTTTCTGTTCATTGGGTGCACTTAAGGTTTAAAAACGTTTAAAAAATTTTAATGTGATAAAAGCAATGTGACCCCTTGCCCAGAACTCTTCATTTGACTTTTTGATAATTCAGACGAAATTCAGAGGTCCCTTCGAGTTTGAATTAACGATAGTCGACTGTAATTTTCTTTCCCTCATTTCTCATTCCTCCATTCCACGTCCCCCCCTCTTTTGTAACACCGTGGTTGCTCTCACTCCAGCTGATCCACCACCGAGAAGCCCGCTTACTCCCTTGCTTAATTCTTTGAGATTTTTCTAGCAGATCCATTATAACCGGTTTTTCATCTTGATTGATGATTGATTGATATGTGGAGTTTAACGTTCCAAAACCACCATATGATTATGAGAGACGCCGTGGTGGAGGGCTCCGGAGATTTTGACCACCTTGGGTTCTTCAACGTGCACCCAAATCTGAGCACACAGGCCTACAACATTTCCGCCTCCATCGGAAATGCAGCCGCCACAGCCGGGTTTTTCATCTTAGAAGACTGAACAATAGATGGTATGCACATACATACAGTTCTATGGAAAGGTAAATGAGAGTCAGAAAAAACTGCATTGTACCTGGCCTTGCACTGTAAGTGGTTACATTATAAATGGTCTGAACTGTAACTGATTTGTAATCATGTACACCTACAACTTCACATTAATCTTGCCCATCAGTGAGTCTGACCCCAGAATGGTTAAGTGAAAAATGCCATGAAGCATTTGTAATCAGAGTTTTTCTATCTGCAGCGAATATGAAGTTGTATGCTCACATGCTGCAAACAGTGAGCATGCGGGTGGTTCACTGCACATGCATGCACTTCGCGCACATGCACCACATTTTGACTTGATCCACAGACGGTTGTGATGGCAGTGCCGCTTTTCACTGTGCTACTTTTTTTATGCCATAAGCAGCACAGAATTTAGCGGGGCTGTATAATAATATACATACTCCCATTTTGAGGACTGGCACGCACAACAGCACCAGACTACGCGACTACGTTCAGCTAAGTGATTGACTCCATATTCTATAATCCCCAGCTTCAAGGCTCTTCCGTTAAACTACGAAACAATTTTTCATAATTTTAAGTATGATTTAAAAATATAAATCCTAGTCACAATGCAAAAACAATGCTGAAATATGTCACCCCATGACAATAGTTCTTGTCATGGAGTGACATATTCTATCATTTCATTTCCACTATTATTTAATCACACCTTCTGGCCAGTTCTCGGTCTCTTTAAATAGTTTCCTTAAAGCTACTTGCTTGGCATCAAGCAGAGCAAGCACACCTTAGCAGCCTAGGCAGCGTCATACTTACGGGTTCTTCGATGTGGAGCTTGTGCAAACCTTCATGCGGTCCCTCCTCTTGAGCACTGCTATCACCCAACTGCACAATGCCCTTGTCACCCTTCAAAGTGACTGACTGCCAGAATCCCTTGTCCATGTCAAGGCAAAATAGATCATTAAAGAAGTGGCCCACCAAAGTCTCTTCCATCTCCTGGTCTTGCACACCCCCAAAAAAGTAGGCCCGGTTGCTGTGTGGTAGTGCAGCTACTGACATGCCGCTCCGAGGACCCGGCTGGCATCCTGCCTGCTTCACCTTGGACCACTTACATTTGCCAGAGTTTTCCGCTATAAATGAAACGAACATTGTACATCAACATGTAATCTGCTTAATACCTTGAAGATTAATTTCTAAGCCCAAGTTACACTATACAGTATATTACAATGCTGAAGGTAATTCGTCACTTCAAAATGGGCCTTCTCACTGTGCACCTCCTTAAAGGGGCCCTCCAACACTTATTTCGAAGTGTCAACACTATTGCTGATCAATATGCTGATCACATAGTGGCGCTCGCCAGAACTATTGCGAGCAGAAAGGATGATGGATGGCACAAGCCTGTGATTGGATAAATGTAACGTTAGACGTAATCGCTAGATCGCATCAAAATAGGGTTACTATTGGGTTTCTCTTTATTAGGGGTGTGCGAATAACAAAATTTTCGAATACGAATCGAATAATGAACAAGTGCAATTTTTTTTCCACCAGTAATCTTTTACTCAATCATATATGTAGGTTGGAAACAGTACAATTGTTATTATATAGTCAGTTATAGCACATAAAAATATAATAAAATATGTCACTATCTGTACTTCCAAGAAAGACTAATAGTAGAGCTTGTGACTGTGACGTCTCTGGTTCAATCCACATGTTGAACAAACCTTCTGTATCTTTTTTTTGTGGCAGCACTTTATTAAAAACAAAAACAAAAACTTTCATACCTGCTATGATGATTAGTGAGCATCAAACCACTGGTTTAATTGTGTTAACAGTTAACACTAGTGTACTTAAATCCAAGTGATTATTAAAGCAGCCTAGATCGTCACTATCCATCCAGGTTCCCACACTATCAGTTTTGGCTCTAAAGACACTGATTTTATAGTTTTTTTTTCCCCATAATTTTCTCTTCTCACCAGTCAAGCCACCAAGAGAAATAGGAGTACTTAGAGCGTTTTTCAACTACACAGCAGTACTCGTTATCTTGCTTGCTTCCGTTGCCTTTCTCAAGGACCGCACTCACAATTTTCTGATCAAGAATGCTGTGTTGCGCCGAGGGCTGCACAGATGTGACTAAGGTGTATCGGCACGCAGTGATATTACGAGGTAAGCGCGCGAGATAGACGATTACTAATGTGTGATAGAAAAATGCCCCAAATACGCCTTTTTGTTGACTGAGCCACAATTCCCGGCGATGAGGGCATTATTTTGCCGCATCGCGACTCCCTTCGGCGCACTGGCTGCAGACGGCAGTAAAACAGACGTTGGCAAAAAGAGCGAAATCGTAGCAACGGTATTACGGAGGGTTGATTGCAGAAGATGTTGCCGCACGAGCGCGATGAGCGTACAACAGATTTTCAAAGGCACTGTCGGGGAACGCAGTGGAACTACGCATTAATCCGCCCGTAACTTTATGCGCACCATTGTTAGCAACTGAGAACTATATGTGACACCACCATTGTAACGTTACCAAAAGTGTATGGCCTTTTCTGTGTTGGCCATTGTGCAAAAAAAAAAAAAAAAAAAAAAAAACACTTCAGCTCATTCACATGACCATATCCGCTACCATGAAATCATTTCGAAACTATGAAGAGAATATACATGCTGAAGTAGCGGCACAGCTGACGGACGACTTGTCAGGGTTTGACATGTGCGCGTACGTTTCTATGGCGATCCATTAGCTAAAACTGGCGTGGCTGGACATGAAATGCATTACTAAGGAACGCCAAGCTGACCGCGCCCCTAGCTAGTTGCGTGCAGTGCATCGCCTTCTATCCATCAGTGCCACACCCTGTAATGTATACACATGCATTTGCCCTTGCGTAGAGGTATACTTTCTTTTTTCGTGCTCGCTCAGCATGGGACTGAGCAAAGGTGTGAGAATTATTTTGTTATGCCAATGTGGCGGCGGCGAGTTGCCTTCGTTTCAACGAGCGATATGCACTTGCGGCCCTGCGCACAAGGGCGTGGCAGCGGACGGCGTGTTTGGTACGCTTACATGAACTGTAACAGCAATAAACCGCTAAAGCCACACGTACTGCCAAACAGGCAGTACATAGTTTAGATTGATTTAGATGTTTATCATTGGTAGGTTTGCCCCGATGACTTGCCGCCACATTCATTGGTAGCTGTCATCACGCTCCCACGAATTTCCATGCAGGCATCACCACACTTGCGCTGAAGTCATAGTAATCACTGCATGATCTATTGAGGCTCTTACGCAAATGCACAAAATCATAAGTTCTTCACAGTGACGTATGTGAACGAATATTCAAGGAATATTTGAGTTAGTTTGAATATTTGAAATTTTTGAATATGTGGTTATCGAATCAAATACGAATATTACAAATGCAATAATCGATGAATATTTGCAACTTACGAATATTTGCACACCCTTACTCTTTATCATTTATCATGGTTTTTGACTGAACACGGAAGAGACTAGAGTTCTCAGATTTTTTCAGCTTGAAAACTGCGACGCCAGTCAAAGAATGGCGTTTGGCACAGGAGGAAACACACCAAGGATGCCTCAGGCACTGTTGTTTGAAGAAAGTGAGGGGGGGGGGGGGGGGAGACATAAGAGCATTGATATAGACACCGTCTCAACAAGAATCAATAAAACTACAAAACATTACAGAAGTGCTTGCAAGCTGTCTCGTTTCGTACATGTGGTTCACTCTTCAAGCACCAAATTTGTTACCATCGCAACCCCGTTATTAATACATTGAAAAGAAAAAAAAAAAAACGCAATTTGGCATGCAAGCTTCCCATACATAAAAGTTTTCAGTTAATTTAATTGGAGAGCCATCATACCTCACAGGGCAAGAGAAACGTGGTCAGGTGACCCTGTGAAAATAAAGTTGATGGTAGGCATCTACTTTATCGTATTTTTAATATTATAGGATGAACAAAATCGAATTGTGTGCCTCTATCATCACTGCAGTTCTTCCTGCACTAATCTCTTCCGCCTTCAGTCTATGCAACCCACAAGTAAAAAAATGTAAAACAATGAGTTCTTTAAAAGTGCTGGAGGGCCCCTTTAAACTCTATCTCAAACAAAATTTACTTTTAGTAGTGCCAGTCTACTGTTCGGAAAGTACAGAAATACCATACTATCTTGGACGGCACTTCATGAAAAAACTTCACTAAAAGTTACTTTGATACATTGGTTATTATGATGAACGAAAATCACAGCCCAAAAAAACACTCCTAACAGCTGAAGAGTTGTCACAAAAGCAACTTTGTAAATGACGCAGCCACCCTTTAAGCAGCTGATGTAAGGGCCTAACGACACTTAGTAAGGCCTGTCAGAAGAAAAGGGAAGTGTTTTTTGAACTTTGGCGGGCAGGTTGTATAGACGTTTTCAAAAACGGCTCCCTGGGCGCAACCATAGCCCTTTCTGGGCTGTGCAAATTGTTGTCACCCCCCTAATATGCCCTCCCAGGCTGTGACATCGGCCTTTATACCTCTGCGCACAGCCCAACATGGCGGCATTTTTTCCCTTGTATGAAAAGGTGTATAACAAAGGCTGAGTGTCGTTCCACAACACTATTGTCCCAGGACAGCTGGTATCTCGTTTGCAATCTTAGCATGCTTTTATTGCCTAACAGCAGTATACTGCTGCGAAAGCAATTGAAGTGTTTCACACATAATAAACCAAGACCAGACAGACTCTCTTCTTTTCTTATTGGTGCCTGCAGTTTGGCTAGTTGGCTGCTTTGACACATGTAGGCTGGTAATTGGCTTTATTTGTGGCTGTCAATAATATAAGAATACAAATGTTCAGCTGGAAGCGACAAATAAAGCAGATATTTCGCGGCATGAAAAACCACAAAGCACAGATGAACTTAATGCTATGAATCATGGCAATGAATTAACTAATAATTATCATGATGAAAATGTTTAAATGAAGCAGCTCTAAAATGCATTGATAATGTGGCTGGTCAACCAAAAATTTAAATTTTGTTTGAATGAACCAAATGTTTCGATTAGCTGAGTTTGAATTCTCACAGATCCACTGTATATAATTTCTAACAAAATCAGTATTATTGTGAGGTGCTTGCCAATGCACTTTGCAAAACAAAGAAATTGTGGGTGCTTTTTTAATGCAGCACTGTTATAAACTGTTTCAGGTCTTGCATGGCAATAGTATCTTAAAGATACTTTTGAGTATCTGTATTTCCATAATGAGATACATTAACAAAATATATCTTTATTTCAGTAGTGAAATACTTTTAAGATGTAGTAAAACCTCGTTAATTGGAAATCATTTGGACTTTAAAAAATTTTCAAATTATGTGGGTTTTTAAATTAACGAAACATACAAAAAGTTGGGTGCTAGAAACTGAATTATTGAAAGTGATTAGAGGTGGTCACTTGCTGTGCCTGCCAGTTTGCAGCTCCAAGGGCTATGTTTCTCCGTATTACCAGGGCCCAATTTTGCCACAAATACAGGTAAACAGCGAACACCACTGCTGCCAGCGAAAAAAAAAAAAAAAAGTCCTGGTCAGCTAAAATGTGCACCTGTGAAAAAAAATTATGTGCTTCACTGCAGTACAGCGGTGACACACGGGCAAAATGTCACCTGCTCTGTGCAGCGTCAGGACGTCATGATGCGATCATTTGCCCATTATTTTTGGTAAAATAAAGAATTTAATGAAGGTCAGTGTGAGGAAATCCGCGATGTTTTTGCTGGACAACATGATCAAAACTGAGTTTTCGAAGTAGGTGTTGCAGACAGGAACTTCACCAGCAATGCAAGTGCGAAAATCGCTGGAGCAACCGGCATTCGGAAGTTAGCGTACATCGTGAATTGCACCAGACTGATCTTTATTCATTTTGTTATATTTCCAGAAAGAATGGGTAAATCATAATGCGCTGACATTGCGAGAAGCATGCGATGTGCTGCTCACGTGTCACCACTGTAGTGCAGTGAAGCAAATCTTTTCCGCAAATGCACATTTAGATCACAAAACCGCCTTTTTTTTTTTGTTGTTCTTGTGCTGGTGGAAGCATGGCTCAGGTGCTTCATCTGTCACTCACTACTTTCCCTACAGTGCATTTCCTTGTGGCTCTTAAGGGCCGCAGTTTCTGCTGATTTAAGGCAAAATCGGGTTCGGAAATCTGCACACGGCACCAAAAGTTTTCGAATTAACCAGACCGCTGCTAACCACTGCTTCAAATGATCCATTCAAACTTATATTGCAAAATACGGGACTGCAGAAATCCTTTAATTTAAGTGGAATTTCAAAATAATCGAGTTCGAATGAATGGGGTAGTACTGTATTGATTATATTGCGATACTGTACAGAACATGGGTATCTTATTACTTTTTTTGTCTGAAAAGAGCTGACCTATTTCTAAACGGGAAAGGAACATTTTTGTGCTACGCTGAGTAAAGCCACGTCGGTGGTCGCCTACACAATAAGAGGCAGTAAAGGCTTCCCTGTAAGCACAAAATGGCCCATGTGATAAAGCACCGGATACTGTGATGGCAGAATCGCGGAGGCAGTCATGCACTGCCACGATAGTAGCAATCTCTCAAGGCAGGTGCTGCACTTTTTTTTCTTTAATGGAAAGCAGGTCATTTGACAAGCCTTGTGTTGAAGCCAAAGAAGCATTGTCTAAATAGCAGCCTATTTGAGCAACTGCTGTTTTAAATGCAGTTAATGCAACAACATTGCGTTCTTTACAGTGGTGGGAATGCCTTCCAGCATTTTGGAGCAGCCACTGGAGAAGGCGAAATCTACTTTTGGAGCAGCTACTTCAGTGTTTGGAGCAGGCATGGGCTTTTCATTGCACACACAGAGGAAGAAAATTTAGCTTTGAGTTTAATGTTCTCTTATATAATCATTTATACAGAAGCAGCAAGCCCACAAAATAAAAGTAAGATTATGTACAGAAGCGGTGACATCAGATAGTGGAGGATATTGCATCAACAAGATAGTTGCTGAAGCATGAAGTTCATAGTGGTGTACACACAAACACATTCAAAGCTTGCTACAGTAAAACCTCAATATTACGTACATATATTCCGAGTACCTGCTGGGAATGTGGCTAACTACACGCTAAGTGCAGAATGCATTAACCACAAGGCACATGAGCATGTGCAGAGTTCCCCTTTGGGGGGGGGGGGGGGGCAAAGGTTTGTTACAGTTCTGCCCCCTTCCCATTTATGTCAATGTATGAGGCTGGCTTTGAGCCCCCTCCCCACATTCTTACGAGTACCAATTCGCATTTCTTTAACGTGCCATCACCGCTAAAAAAGAAATAAATACAGTGCAACAGCAAATATTGCCTAAAGTACCCATCACGAAGCCATTACTTTCCTTTTGCCAATGTTCAGAAATGATTGGCATTCTGCACGACCGTGTAATGGCACAGGGTGACGACACCAAAGAGCATTTCGATACTGGTGTGAAGTCCGGGATACGCAGCCACTGCAGCGACTGACATAGAGACGAAACAAACGTAATCGGCTGTCCACGATAAATGTGTACCGCCAAGTGCTACTTAGCGAAAAGTGACTTTTTAAAGATGCGATACGGTCGCAGGTAGCAGATAGTCTAATGGCTAGTTGCGTGCAGCGCTTTGCCTACATCATGTAGTCACCCCGGTTAAGCCACTTTCACCTACTCCGCTTCAGACCGTGCACAGATGCGGCAGGGGGTCTGTTGGGTTAACGTGATGATGAGAGCTTTTTGCAAGGGAAGCTCTAGCGGTCCTGGTAACGGATGGAGGCGCATGTAGGCTGTCGCTTTATGAAAGCGTGTGCTATGCTTACTGTCTAGGTCCCCACAATCCACAATGCTTAACTTTGCAACGACGAGTGGCTTTTGTTTCTGCAAAGTGGTGCATGCTCAACACAGTCCCGCACAACGATTGACGTGGCAGCGATTGGCGCCTCAGCGCTCTCAGGTATTCGCCGGCTATTAAAAGCATGCAGTAGGCTCAAAGCGTCGCTACGCCACACACGTAGGCTTTTCAACAGCGATATGTCACACTGCCGTACTTTTTGGTAGTCACCACACCGTTTTCGTTTTTTGCCAATGGTTACCAAAAAAGGCACCACCGCAATCACATGGAAGTCAGAATAATTGATCGGCCAATTCTGTTCTTTTGCAGCAGCTCAAGTACAACATCGCGACCACGACGTAATATCCACTCACGATGCATGCTGTCAACATTACTTTCGATTTCAAAACTGTCCAGAACGAAGTGATGTGGCACATTTGTTTGATATTTTTGGAAGCAATAAAAGGCGCATGTTTCCCACTCCAGTTGTGTTAATTTACCTACGTATCCCCCCACCCTCCGCTCCGCTGCAAGGTGTCCCCGCCCCCATCACTTCCACCAGTCCACAAGGGGTCCTCGACACATCCATGGCCGAGAACCACTGCTCCAGTGGATTCTGTTTGTAACCAGCCATGTAGGTAGCATACCGGCCGAATGTGCCCTGCGAAGTGGATTTCCCAACTAAGTTCACAACGACAAACCCAACAACAAAAACGCAGCATCCCATGGCGGCACACAGACGTTGCAGTATATGTTGCGGGTGCACAACGCGCCGTCAGCGCGATGGGTGCGTTTGCGCTTTGCATGACCTCTGAGACGACGAGCACGCGCAGTGCTCCATTTTGAAGGCCATGCCCTTTGTTTTTGTGCCGCTGTGCTTGCGGGCGCTATTATGCGAGTGGGTTCATTACGCGAGTAAGCACGGTAGGTTTGCGGAGAATCAGTATTATTTCAAAAATCAAATAACAATCTGGTATTTGCATTCTTGCATTGGTATTCCTGTATCTGTAAATACTTTTTCGTCTTTTTGTAAAAGTACTTCGAAAATATCCCATTACGTCAACGACACATGAATCTCAGTATGTGTATTTTAAGCTTCCAGTGCATGTACTTCGATATCTGTATTCCAGAATACATATCTGAGTATCTCTGCCCAGCCCTGGACTGTTCATACCTGTATGCTGGGGTGGGGGAAACGTCTTAAACTTTTTAGGGAAAGGTGGCTTGGTTTATCGCTGATGCTGTGTTGTAGGCAGAAAGTCGTTGTGGCAAGACAAATGAGGAAGATTGGTCAGACATACACCAGATGCTACGTTCAGTATATGTGCACATACCACATTTACAAACTACATTGCCTGCTGAAAACTCACCATTTCAACAGTGCTTTTTTTGTTGTTGTTTCTTGTCAAAAAGCACAGCTGTCAAAAAGCACAACGCTGCAGGTTTCAGTAGGCAAGATTTGATGAACAGTTGGCAAGTGAATTTAGCAGTGAGCAACCCTATAGCAGTATTAACTCTCCCAGTAGGCCAAAAATGCAGTTAACACCACGACCTACTGTACTCCTGACCTGCCCTGATAAACTCTTCAGGGCCCACGTCTAGTTCGTACCTTCTGCCACTAGGGCCGTAACCTACCAGCGGCGTGGACCTAGTCAGCACCCGTTTGCTGATGTCAGCTTCAGAATTTGTGGTCATATATTGGCCAACAGAGCACTCATAACGCATAACTATCATGCATAAATACAGAATAAGTCGAAAATAAATATACTAAAACTAATTCAGAATTTTTCTCTAGTTACATGGACGCGACATCACACAGACTGTCCTACCCTATGCAAGTCTACAGGTTCCCATGTTTGTCAACTAGTGTGCAATAGATACCTAACCACATTCAATAGCTTACTTGACCCGCCGTCTAAGTTTGCAGAAATAGTCACATATATGCCGGCTGTTCATCACAAAATGCAGGCGTTCTTACTCCAGCGTTGTCCAAACAGCCATAGAGTAGTAGATGAACAGGTTATATGTAGCACCAGCAACAACAAGAGGTTGAACGAGAGTGCGGACGCGCCCTACTATAGGAACCCCATCATCTGGGTAGGTCAGGAGTACGGTAGGTCATGGTTAACACTTGTGAAGTCACAAAATCTGCCAATATGACATTTTAACACTCACGGTCACACTGAAGAAGGTACATGTCTCCAAATGCTTTTCCCTGATCAAACTCCGATTTGGTCTTCTCACGTGAGTAACCACCATAAACAAGGGCTTTTGCTTCACCCACTGGCAACAACTGGCAGCCAGAACGTGGTGAAGGCCCGGAGTTGCTGAACTCCAGTTTGGTCCATGTTCGAAGATCCAATCGGAAGAGGTACACATCGTTGAAGTAACGATAGTCCCTGTCAACACAACATCCAGAAAGTGGAGGTTGACTGACACAGTTTACAAATTGCAGCATCTTCCCTAAAGAAGCAAATGAACAAATAAATATAAACTGCCCTCTAATTCCCCATCAATATTGAAGAAAAAATAGTAAGAGATACTCTATATGTATTTAATCTTTATACTCTTCTGAGCAAGTTTGAAAGCATATGATTCTTAAATATTTATCAAATAGAGCAGCCTTTTGCCTGGATCAGTCACAAATGCTCAATGAAGCATGGTGTGAACTCTAACTACTGCTTGCTGGTGATTTTGAGTTGAGTCCTAGGTCAGTCTGTAGTGAAGATAAGTGCTTTTTTTTCTGCCATGCAGACAACTTAAGAAGCATCCACTGATAACCCTGCTCTATTGAATTCTGCATTTGAAAAATCAATGCATCCTTGTTTCAATGAACTTTAGTATGCTGAAAAGTTATAAGCTTACAGATGAGATCAGGCAATTGAAATCCATTGTTAAAGAAAATGAGTACTATTCAACAAAGGGATTCAACAAAGGGAACTAAATGAATTCAAAGACACAGGTAGATGGAGCAACATTGTTGCTTTCAGTTTTCTCAAATCACAAAGCTTCAAACAGCCTAAAACATGAAGTTATTGAGGTCACGATAATCCCAAGGCACTGTGTAGGGGTTAATACAGTAATAATAATAATAACAAGTCTTGGGGCGTAACGTCCCAAAACCACAATATGATGAGAGACGCCGTAGTGGAGAGCTCCGGACATTTCGACCGCCTGGGGTTCTTTAACATGCACCTAAATCCAAGTACACAGGCCAACAACACTTCCACTGGGATGGAAAATGTGGCGCCGAGATTCGATCCTGCGGCCTGCGTGTCTACAGTTGAGTACCATAACCACTAGATCACCATGGCAGGTTAGGTCAATACAGCAGACAAAGTGCACAAACCAGGAAACAAGTGGCCAAATAAAGCTACACATGAAACAAAGATTGAAACAATGCTCAAGCTGAATGCTCTAAACGCATGTTGCTGGGACGGCACTCAGCAGGAACAAATGAAGAAGAAAAGCAAGTGCACTTGTTTTTTAAGCTGTTTAGCATTAACACGGCCACTCCTCTGAATAACTTCATCTTGTGAACAAGGCATCCCATGAGAGCAATATTTTTACAATAGCTAATATACCGCTGAAGCAAATTTCAGCTTGCAATCTTTGCTATATGAAAATTTTTATGTGTCAGCATTAAGTATGAAGCATATTCGATAACTAAGAACCATTTGATTATGTTGAACTACTGGAGGGTCACAACTAAATTGTACACTTGCAAGGCCATCTACTGGCTGCTTCTGAAGACAATGAAGTTATTGTTGCCATCCACTAGAAGTTGGCTTGTTGGTGAATGCAAGCAACTATGTCCGTGAAATATGTCACACGCAGTATTTGCAAAATGTGTGGTGTAATTCGGTTCCCGTCTTGAGAAAAAAGATAGTCAGCTTCCGAAAGTCATCAGTAATTGTCTAGTTTATGAACTTATAGTAATGAGTTAAGGAAATGTTCTACAATGACATCAATGCTTCGAAAACAGCTGCACAAGTGTGCATGACGAAGAGTGAAATGGTAGGCCCAGCATACAGATTGATCGAATTGCTCAAGGAGACTGAGCACCGCAATTTCATATGTGAATGATAATCGTGTTCTGACTGATGTATCTCCTTTAGTTGGATGCTTCACTATAAACTCGATTGTAGTAGAAAATCCCAGATGTTGAAAACAGCGCGCAAAGAGGGTACTGAAAATGCTTATTGGTCAGTGTTGTCCCGAGTCCGAGTTTGCACGCCCACGATCATTTAATTTGAATTCCTACCAACTAGCTCAGCTGTCTGCCATAAGACCATCACAAAGAGAAAAGAATGTCACGTCGATAACTGCTTTTAAAACTGCAGGGGTGCGACAGCAAAAACAGGATTTGGAGCAATTTTCGGAGCAGCAAAATGTTGATTGATATGTGGGGTTTAACGTCCCAAAACCACCATATGATTATGAGAGACGCCGTAGTGGTGGACTCCGGAAATTTCGACCACCTGGGGTTCTTTAACGTGCACCCAAATCTGAGCACACAGGCCTACAACATTTCCGCCTCCATCGGAAATGCAGCCGCCACAGCCGGGATTCGATCCCGCGACCTGTGGGTCAGCAGCCGAGTACCTTAGCCACTAGACTACCGTGACGGGGCCAGCAAAATGTTGCTTCGGGAGCACGAAAATCCAAACTTGGAGCAGTATAACAAGGGAGGCTTACTTTTCGAAAACAAAAACGTGTACAAACCAGTCAACATCACCAAAATCGTGCACAGTGCTCATGAGCACAGCTATTTCAATAAAAGCAGTAGTTTTAACCAGCCCACAGTGCAAGCAAAAGTGACGTCATTACCATTTGCAGCACCTACCAAATCCTTTAAGTTTAAATGTGGAACTGCCACGCTGGAGTCTTTTAATTTTTGACAATTTGTAGAGCAGTAACGAGTGGGGGTGTCGAAAATATTACTCAGCTACAAATGATTGCAAGCAAATTTTTTACGTGTCAGTGATCATACTTGTTCTCACAATTATGCAGCAGATACAGACCCAAGTAAATAATTAAGAAACAAAATGCACTGTGACCAGTGAATAGTACTAACAGTCCCTTCTAAATCTTAGTGTGCTTCACAAATGCGCTGTAACCAGTGAATAGTACTAACAGTCCCTTCTAAATCTTAGTGTGCTTCACGCCACCGATGTACTGCGGCGAAGGTGGCTCAAGCAGGGATAGAAAAAGACCAAGAAATTCTGAAATAGCTGCACTTTTTTATTTTCTTTCACAGTTAGGTTAGGTTCATGGTACAACTTCTTGGCTTGCTTTCAACTTAAAAGGCGTGCTTTACCAGATAAAGGAACAATGGTGCACGTCCGCTGGTCTGGCGATGCCACCGAATATATATCGGTGGGATGACACAACTTCAAGACAGGAAATGTTCCATGCGTCGTTGCCATATGAACCAACATTATCGACAGTAACATAGAAGTTCGCAGCCCGTCCTGCTAGTTTGCCCGCAGAAAACGTAGCATATGTTTCTAGCTTTGGTTCCCAACATACCATAGCTGCATTTGCTCACCAGGAAATTCATATTTCGCACAAGGCATTGGTGCTTACGGCAACGCAATTTTGTCTTGAAGTTGCATTGTCCCATCGATAGGCATCCGCTGCAGTCAGCCGACGCGATGGGAGCGCGGCCGCACAACGTTACTACTTTATCTGGTCGACCGCGTCTCGCAAATGTCCTCACCTAAAGAGTATCTATACGTTACACTGTGGTTTAGAGTTAGGGTCTGCGCGTCTTGATTGGACTGGTTAATGATGCCTAAACTGCAGGTGACCATCGCGGACTCAATTTCCGCTCAAATTAGTACAACTGACAAAATTTTTAGGCTGGTGGGTGATTTCAGTGCAGTGTGGAGCAATTTCAACAAATTTCATGGTTTTGGCTCAGTTTGGCACTAAAATAGGGAACTGTATCAAACTGATGCAAGTGGTGCAGCTTTAACACCCCTGACCGTATCAACAAGACCAGAAATATTTTCTCATGTTTTCACAGGCCACAAGACATGAACACACTACACTAATAGAGAAAAAAGAGAAAGAGCGAGAGAAACAGTAATTGCAGTGGTGCAATTATACAGTGAAGCGTGAAAATTTTTATGACCATCACTGGGAATAGGTTCATTTCCTGAGTAGCCAACTCCTGTGAAGATGAATTAAACTGCTGGAACATAATAAAAAGTGCTCAGAAGTTAGAGCAATGAAAAAGGTTTGCGCAACACTAAAAGCACCACAGGAACTTTTACAGATAAAAAATATCATCATTTACAACTAAACAGTCTTTGCTTTTTTTAATTTGTCTCGCATAGATGCATGCAAGATAAGCATTGGTGACACTGCGAAGTGTGGCCATAAAACTGACCTGAAGCTCTCGTGAAAGCCCCCGAAGAGTAGCAGCTGACGATTCACTAGCACCATGCGATGACCACTGCGAGCAGAGGGTCCTCCTGGAGCCCGCACCTGCTCCCAGCTCTGGCTGGCAATATAGTAGACCCACAGGTCCTTGTAGTGATGAAACTGGGACTTGGTTGGGCTCGCATATTCTCCCCCAAATATCCACATCTGGCCTCCTCCTTGTGGCGCCATGACAGCCTGAATGCAGGGAATGACAACTATAACTTCTGGCTTAGGCCAAGTTTCCCAAATCAGTCTACAAAGACACAAACAAATATATATATATATTTTCACATAGGTGACTGTACGTTGCACAGACCAGTAGAGAGGGAGACCACCACCAGAATAAAATAAAAAAGTAATTTATTGGGCTGACTTGCGCCCGAATAAAAGCTAACACGCACCGCTCGACGACGGCAAAGAATACAGGACAGTGGGCCCAAATTATGGCTACCAGACTGGCCGGCCGCAAATACAGTGCTCTCTTATCTGTTCGTTGTGTCACAATACAACGGGCATCAGTATGCCGCACGGCTGCCCAGTCTGCTTCATATTTTTTTTTCTACATGCGGGTGGCATTGCCCCTCTGTGAAAAAAAGCATCGTCCCGATCCTGAAACAAATGAAAGAAATTGCAAGTGCATAGTAAAACCAAAGCTATGAAAATTTCAGCCTGCTAACACTCAAAAACCTTTTTGAGGTGCACAACGTGAACTATTTCAGGTCGTGGGCGTCGTCGCTGCGACTGTGTCACTCCATCAGGCAAAACATTATATATTAGGGGCCCCAGTTGTTGGATAATCTTGTATGGTCCAAAATACTGTCGCAATAGTTTTTAGCTGAGATCGCGGCAGCGAATTGGTGACCACACCATAACACGGTCGCCAGGTACACACTGTTGGTGCCGTCGTCCATGGTTGTAGAGCCGGGTGACCGTGTGCGGCTGCTCTAGGATATGAGTTCGAGCAAAGTGGCGGGCTTCCTCGGCATGTTGAAGGAGGCCCGTCGTCGATGTGAGGCAACATCGCATCCAGCTTGAAAAGAGTCATCTGCATTGTATCCTGCGATGCGGTGTTGTAGGCAAACGTGACATGCAGGATGACTCCATCCCAAGTCTTGTGCCCAACGTCAACGTACATTGAGAGATTGATTGATTGATATGTGGGGTTTAACGTCCCAAAACCACCATATGATTATGACTGACGCCGTAGTGGAGGGCTCCGGAAATTTCGACCACCTCGGGTTCTTTAACGTGCACCCAAATCTGAGCACACGGGCCTACATCATTTCCGCTTCCATCGGAAATGCAGCCGTCGCAGCCGGGATTCGAACCCGCGACCTGCGGGTCAGCAGCCGAGTACCTTAGCCACTAGACCACCGCGGCGGGGCAACGTACATTGAGAGCATGTCAGCGAAAGTCTTATTCAAACGCTCCGTTAGGCCATTTGTCTGTGGGTGGTAGGCTGTACTTTTGCTATGAACAGTATGGCTTAAGTGCAGAATCTGCTGCGCGAGGTCTCCGGTGAATGCCGTACCTCTGTTGGTGATAAGGACCATGGGTGCGCCATGCCGGAGGAGAATGTTCTTCATCAATAAGCTGGCGACTTCACTCGCGTTGCCGGATGGTAATGCCGCGGTCTGTGCGTAGCGTGTAAGGTAGTTTGTTGCTACCACTATTCACTTGTTCCCGTAGGTTGAAGTCTGAAAAGGACCAAGCAGATCCATCCCAATTTGCTTAAATGGTTTGTCTGGTGGTTGGATTGGTTGCAGAATGCCGGCGGGCCTTCCCGGCAGTGTTTTTCGACGTTGGCAATCTCGGCAGGCTTTCACGTAGTGTGCGACATCCATGCTCAGGCCAGGCGAGTAGAATTTTTCTTAAATTCGCCGCAGTGTACGAGTGAACCCCAGATGTCCTGCTGTCAGCTTGTCGTAAAACGCCTCTAAAACTTCTTGCCGCAAAGTGGCTGGAACCACTAGTAGGTAGGTTGTTTTGTGCGGCGTGAAGTTTTTCTTGATGAAGAAAAACTTCGTTGCGTAGGCACAGCGTTGAAACTGCGCACCCGAACTCCTTTGGCGGCGAAGCGGTCTTGCCTTCAAGGTACTCAAACACAAAGCGTAAATCAGGATCAGTGCGTTGATTGTGTGCAGACGTGTCTGAATTGACGGGCCCAAGAAACGAATTGTCGCCATCATCGTGATTGCGTGGCACAACTGTATCAACGGGTGCTCTCAAAATGCAGTCGGCATCTGTGTGCTTTCAACCTGACCTATACACAAAGGTGATGCCGTACTCCTGTAGTCGCAGGCTCCAACAAACAAGCCGACCAGAAGGGTCTCTTAGGCTAGCGAGCCAACATAGAGCGTGGTGGTCAGTGACGACCTTGAAGTGCTTTCGGTCAATCTTAAAGATATGGCCGAAATTTTGTGACTCCCCAAACAACAGCGAGGCATCTCTTTTCTGTCGTTGAAGGTTTAGTTCAGCTTTCAACAGAGACCTGCTCGCGTAGGTGATGGCTAGCTCGAGACCGTGCTTTCTCTGAATCTGGACTGCACCGAGTAGCACGCCGCTCACATCTGTGTGGACCTCAGTGTCGACAGTTTCGTCGAAGTGACCTAGTATTGGCCGCAGCTGCAGGCGTTTTTGAAGTTCACGAAAAGCATAGTTCTGAGGCTTCTGCCACGTGAACTGCATGTCAGCCTTTGTGAGGCATGTCAGAGGCTCGGCGATCCTTGAGAAGTCTCGTACAAAACGCCTGTAATACGCACAGAGGCCCAAAAATCTACGGACTTAATTCTTGTCAGCAGGAATCGGGAAATTTTGGATGGCTGCCATCTTTTTGGGATCGGGGCGGATGCCTTCACCACTGATTACATGTCCCAGAAAAAGGAGCTCTTTGTAGGTGAAACGACATTTCTGTAGTTTGTGGGGTCTCGGTGAGGCGAACGAGCGCCTCGCCATGCCACGCTCTTGGAGTAAACGGACACAGCAGACACGGTCGGTACAAAGCACACAACATACATACATTTATTAACTAATTTAGACGACGATATCGTCCGCCGAATGATGCACCAATTTCAATTAACACGCTACCATACAAACAACATAACGCAGTGACACACTAAACACACAATAACATGATAAACACACACTAACACACCCAACACACTAACACATACCCAAGGCGGCGTCGCCAATGCCTGACTTTCCACGTGGGACCCCGGCGCGAAGCCCGCGGTGCCGAGCGCCGGGGGCCCACGCTACAGACAACCGTTCGCAGCAGCCGCCACGCGCAGAAGAGGCTCACTCAACGCTCGCCCACCATTAAGGCCTGCCCTCCGCCAGGGGCCACCGCCGGCGCTACCACTCTACCAACAGTGGCACTCAAAGCGAACACAATGCCATCTATCACCCGGCGGTGGTCACCACTGAAATAAAGCCTTGGGGCGAGACACGTGCGCCACGTGGCGCAGATAACTTTACAGGGGGGGAGGGGGGGGTGTCAGCACCCCCACATTCCCCCAACCTGATTGATTGATTTGTGTGGTTTAACGTCCCAAAACACATTCCCCCAACCTTAAATCAAACCATATCCCGAAATCAAAAAGTAGCTACACAAGCTTTAACAAAAAAAATGATATCGCACGACCATAATGTCCTTGCACCACGACACCGCCGCTGGTCGACACTGCTGCACTGTCCGGCTAGACTTCACCTCAGTACCGGCCCCGCAACAGCAACGTTGCCGTCGGCGCGACGATCCGTCGCTAGCGCCGACACGTCTTCCAGTTGCGACCAGCACTCGCGAGGGCGCCGGACTGCAGGCAGTTGCGCAGCTCCAAGGCATCTCCATCGCCCGACCTCACGACCATATTCCTGGCCAGCGACGCTGACGATGTGCAGGACAGCCGGCCGTGGATGACATCCCTCCCGCTGAATACATCAATAACAACAACAAAAAAAACTTGAAAGAAAACAATCGAGCAGGTCCTCGGGAAGGGAGCTTCGAGCTTTTCGTCCACGTGGTACGTTGGTCAGTACTGCTAGCTAATACATCGGTGGCGGCCGAGACGCCCATCAAAATAAAACAAAAATCACTTTTCCTAACCCTTGCATCACAAGATAAAAAAAAGTGAGGGAAGCAGAGCGCAACACCTCAACGCCACGATCCACCTAGTTGTGCCACGTGCGACAGGCGGCTGCGCAGAGCCTTAGGCCTAATGAGTCACTTGGCAACAACCGGCATCCACCCAGCCTAGGCGCAGAAGAGGCAGCCGCGAGGAGACATCCACTCTGTGGAGTGGCCCTATCGCTCGCCGCACACAGCAGCTTACCGAGCGATCGGCGTCCACTGCCCCGGGCGGTGTCACGATGCCCCGGCGCCGAGCCGCAATACCAGACAGCAACGACGCCCGGCTCCCTGAGCCCAAAGATAGAGAAGCTATTTACAGAAAATCGGACCACCCACGAGGCTTCCGTACTCACTCGCTTCGGGCCTGGCCTACAAACCACGTGCTCTAGGCCTTGCTCACCCCAGGATGCGGACCGCATGGTTCTCGTCCTAATTCAACAACGTTTTGAAAACTAACAACAAAAAATAACAACACTTGCGAGCAAAAAAAATAAATAGAAAGTCAACCTGCCGACAAATTCAAACACGTTACAAAACCAATCTCCTCGCTTCTCAACAAAGCACACCACCGACGCTAGCAAAGAAGTCCCCCCTAGGCCTACTCTACTCCGGCTCTAACAAAATCCCTGTATTGAACCGCAAAAACTGTCGTCCGATACTCCAAGAGCTCCACGTTGGGCAGCCAGTGTGGGGTCTCGGTGAGGCGAACGAGCGCCTCGCCACGCCACGCTCTTGGAGTAAACGGACACAGCAGACGCGGTCGGTACAAAGCACACAACATACATACATTTATTAACTAATTGACGACGATATCGTCCGCCGAATGATACACCAATTTCAATTAACACGCTACCATACAAACAACATAACGCAGTGACACACTAAACACACAATAACATGATAAACACACACTAACACACCCAACACACTAACACATACCCAAGGCGGCGTCGCCAATGCCTGACTTTCCACGTGGGACCCCGGCGCGAAGCCCGCGGTACCGAGCGCCGGGGGCCCACGCTACAGACAACCGTTCGCGGCAGCCGCCACGCGCAGAAGAGGCTCACTC